AGAACAATCGTTACGTCGTGTTACTCGAGCTTCGGTCACGCGAATCATTGCGTTTGGTATCAGGTAAACGATTTAAGTTTTCCAACCGAACGAGCGCATTGATGATCTTCCATTTAATTGAAAAGTACCACGCGAATTCAGTTAGGCCATGTAACGATAACTGTAATTAACGCACGTTCTGCCTTTTACAGAATAATAATCCGTTGGATTAATTTCGCTAAACTGTTACGTTTGTGCAATGATCAAACAGATTTCAAGGCAACAATTAAATTAACATTTGTTGCAATTCGCTATCAGAAGAAACCGCCATTTTTTTCGACTGTAACTATAATTAACTTTATAAACTTACTAACCTACTTAGAGCGTAAAATTTAAATTCGAAATTAAATTAGTGTAGGTATACGTAAAGCTACTTATAATAAAATTAATAAAACACAATCCTAGGTCTTGCACGTTATGCAAATTACGTGTAATTAATGTAATAGGGACTCTTCCAAAATTTATTTATAATTATTTATTGTGGGAAAGAGCTGTTTGTAATCATACATTCTTGTAAACAAATCGTGGGGTAATTAAAAATTTGGGAAAAAGCGAGAACCCTGCGGGTTCTAAGTCTAAAAATTACTCGGAAATTATTTCGTGTAGGTACCATAATTGTTTTTATCACGCAAGTAATTCTGGAATAATCGCCACAGGTAATTTTAAGTAAAGATGCATTATAGTTGCTCTCATTGTGCTGTTAACGCGTGTAATTTGCATGGAAAAGAACAAAAACTGAATTTTTAACTGTGGGAGATGACTTAAGATTTATCTTACCAAGAGAACTGTTAAAAAATTAGTACTATATTACGGACGATTTCTCATCCGTGTACGGTTACGTAATTAAAAACTGTTAGGAAGAAGAGCTGGCAAAGTTTTTTACCCAGATCCAGTCTCCGCATTTTAGGGGGGTGCAACCATACTCTGCGTATCAATGGTCAATTTGTTTTCAATGTAAACTTTTTTGTTATCCATCACTGTATAGGTAAAAGAGAAGGTAGATATTTTTTAAGATGGAGAAAAATACCGATTAGTTAGTACTTAATAGTGTAAGCACTACAGTCTTTCAATGAACAAATCAAACATCAAATAACTGAAGCAATTACGGTTCAAATATTCCTAGATGGTTTCAAGGGAATTTTGGAATCTTTAAGGATCTCTGAGCCCTGGAGTACAAAATTCGAGTAGGTACCGAAAAGAAATTCCAAATATCTTCAATAGTTTTGAAAATATCGCAAAAAAACCAAAATTTTGAAATTTTCGTTTTTAATAATTATCAAGATGGCGGAGAAACGCGTTCAACTTTAATTTTTCTTATGGGCGCTATTTTAAATTTTGACATTTTGAGAAGTGTGCTTTGGAAAAACAAAACGTTCTTTTGTTGTAAACAAAAGGTTGACTTATTACATGTAGTGTCATTTACGTTTGTGCTAGTTTTATTGCGAAAATGCCATTTTCAAATGCAGATCAAATAGAGATGATCCAAATTTACTACACTTCGCATCGAAATGCCCACATGGCTGCTGTAACATATTTGCAGCGTTCTCCAGATCTACTTTAAACTTTTGAAGTATTTTTCTTTGCCGCATAAAAGTTAATTAGGGGCAAGATAATCAAGAGAAATTGCAGCCCAGCCGAATTTGCCATCCCATCAAGTTGTCAAGAGAACTCTTAAAAAAACCCAAATCGGTATTTGGGCAATTCATATTTCCCAAACGCTCCATCCGGGAGATCATCCGGGAGGGGTAGCTTTTTGTACGTTTGTAAATAATCAGATTCAAGAAAATCCGCAATTTCCTTAATGACATCATATGGCCTGATGAGTGCAAATTTACCAATACAACAATGTTTAATCGCCACAATGAACATTACTGGCCAATTGAAAATCCTCATCAATTTCAAGGACACAAATACGTTTTAGCATTAACGTGTGGGTCGGTTTATTGGGCGATACAATAATTATTGATCCTTACATGTACCAAGAGACTTCTCTGGCAACGCCGCATCCAGACAGATGGATCAAACTGTCAAACAAAAGAACGTTTTGTTTTCCAAAGCACCCTTCTCAAAAAATGAAAAATTGTATTTTTAGGAAAAATGTGATACTGAACCACCATGTGTGATATATCGATGTAAAGAGAAAAAAAAACGAAATCTCAAAATGTCAAAATTCAAAATGGCACCCATAAGAAAAACTAAAATTGCCACGTGTTTCTCCGCCATCTTGAAAGTTATTAAAAACGGAATGCCATATTTGAAATCTCCATTTAAAAGTTTCTGAATAGGAAATGTGTTAATTAGAAATGTCTAGTACGATTAGTTTATCATACAAAAATAAAAACGAAAATCAGAAATTTTCGTTTTTTTGCGTCTTGCGTCTTCAAAACTATTGAAGATTTCTTTTCGGATTGTTATTCAGCACGGAAGCTCGCAACTTTGCCCCCATTTAACCAACCTCGAAAAATGGACACCGTGTACAGGGTGAACATTTTGTCTGCAAGACTGAATATCCCTACCTTCAAAAAAACGTTTTTTAAAAAAGCTAAAACCAAAAATTATAAAAAGTTTGCTACCAATCTACGAACTTGAAATCTGCGGTCGGTGGCCTACTTCTGCATGATCAAGGGGGTCTTACTTTTTGTTTAATGGGAACCACTAGTTTTCATTACATATTCTCAAAAAGTAAACTTGTTTGGATATAGCAGCACAAAGAAATTATTACATTACATAATCAAATTTAAGAGACAATCACAAATTGAGGAAAACAGTTGTGTTAATTTATTTAATAATTTCACTTCTTTGCGTTGAAACAAAAACGATCCATTTAATTTTATTTAGAAATTTTAAGTTTCTTTTGTGAAAACCATTTTTTGTATCGAAGGTCATTTAAGTAAATCTTCATGCTTAAAAATTATTTATAGTGATATGCGTCTACCGTTACATAACTAAGAGGGTCATTTTTTTTAATGGAAAGCACTATTTTTGTGAGATATTAAAGAATGAACTTTTTTTTAAATTTGACAACATAAAATCATGACAAAACTAGTAAAAAATTATGAAAAAATAGGCCCCCTTTAAAAAATGTTGTTTTGAAGATATATTCAGTGTTTTAGAAAAAAATTATGCCCTGTACATCGTTTTTAGAGAGCTGTTGAAGGTACAAGAAATTAGCAACAAATAAATAATAAACGAAACATGACGTCGTTTACTGTTTCAAATTTTAGGCAGTAATAGTTTCTGTATAAAAACGAAGGGGTGCCCAACATTTACAAATTAGTAGTAAATCTTTTAGTTGAGCCGCACTAAGCTTACATGGTTACCATATGAAGTTTTTTAAGTTGAAAAAATCTATACCTACTATATTTGTATAAGGAAGTTATAACACATGTTTAGCTACAGTGTATAATCTCATGACTCTGATTTTTGACTGCAAGCTTAAGTTCTCTCGTCGTTCCCATGGAAACAAAATTGCATTCTGTTCTGAACTTCATTTTATATCTTGTCCCGCGTTCCATTTTTAATAAAAATGACAGATGAGATTGGAATGCACCTTTCACTTTATATACCTTTGCCGTTGAAGTTATTACTTCATCTACTCTTAAGGTTAAAAAGACTCATGCAACCCTATTAAAAAATCAATTTCACATCTGCTATAGTATAAATTAATCCATGTACCTGTACTTGTATCGTTCACTTCAAAATTACGGTTTGTATATCACTTTTTCAATTGTAAATCAATCCTATGGTTTGCATTACTCTAAATGTAAGCTAAGAGGAATGATCTATTATTGCCCAATGAATTCGGGGAATCTTAGAGATTTAGTGTTAGAGTATTTCCGCCTTTTTGGTCAAACGATATCACAATTTCGCGTGTAAAACGGGGACTGTGGGCTACTTTTTTAAATTCGTGTGGAATGCGGGAAAAGTCTGGGAGTCGAGGGAAATTTGTGTCTTGGTATAGTGGTAGCACTGTAAAATTGCCATGCGTGTACTTCGATAGACACGCATAAGAATTTTATAGTCACTATACCAAGACGTAAATTCCCCGCTTGAATATCGACCTCAAACCGTTCGCAATTTTAGTTAAAATACACAAAGTTGCGATCTTTCGTATCTGTATATACCACGGATACGAACTTGGACCTAGGGGAATCCTGAATCATGACATTAGCTATGGGGATCGATGCAACTTTAGAAGAAGACTATTTGGAGGTATTGCATCTTCCAGTGCATAGGAATAAGACCAGTGGTGGATTATACCTAAGATACGATAAGATATTCCCAAAAGGTATAATAATAAAATATTATAATCAAACAGAGAAACAACTTCAGAATAAGATAAGGCAATACTTAGACACAAAATGTACGAGTCTAGGCTTGAGTGGTCAAATAAAACAAGAAACTGAAGCTACAAAATTGTATGGCTTGGCACGAAGAATAGGATGACCAAGGCAGTGAAAATTATGTCTTTCAACTAAATTACCTTCCTTTAACTTTTTTTTATGTGGCATAGTGCGGTCTAGTATTAGCGGATTAAGTATTTGAATGCATTTACCGGCTGCTACGATTACGGAAAGGAACATTGGAAATTAAAGCGAACCAAGTGCAATTACAGTAATTACGGCCTTCATAATTAAGTGCAGAAGTTACGCGAGACTAAATCCTTCCGAAGCGCTCCTCTCTGACCACCGGCTGGGCCAGGTTCCATGGCGCTCATCCAATTTTCATTACACAAAGCATCTTAATTATTTCACAATATGGCTCGAGGCGTTAAGCAACATTACACGGCTTTTAAAAGGCGCAAGTCACCGAACACAAATACTGCAGATACGCATCTTTTGTAAGCACTTTGATTGATTGCAACAAAATCAATTTGGGGGTCCTTTCTTTTGGGCGGCATGTATTTGGGTCACTGTCTAATAATGTCATAAAACTCCGATATGTCTATCTAAACGTCTTACCTTCGTAATCTTGGCCCCACGAAGTCAGTCCCTGGAAAAAAAAATAAGCGTATTATTCTCCTTACAGTTACAACAAAAATGACGATGTGCACCACCGAACTCCCGTTTGTTGGGAGAAATTTAGTTTCACTGTGTAGCAATGTGTCGTAAGTGTTACGGTTAACAATTAAAATGTATACGCAACTGCCGCGTTAAAACTAACTGTAGATGAACATTAAGGGAACCTAAACTCGTATTCTTTTTAAATAATTCAACGGATATAAAATGTATCAGTTTTATGAGGCTATTCCAATTAGCGATCGAGTGTCGAATGTTTCAATAATTAAGCTATTAGAACGGGAATTAGATCGGTTTAATCGCAGGATGGTCTGTCATTAAAGGATTGACCACGCCAGTCGGTACGTAAATTCGGAAGCGAGACCGACTTCTAATCCGCCATTTCAATACTTTTAGTACAAAAACGGCTGTGCGATCGAAGATGGCCATGGGAATCCTTCGGCCCCCAAAATGTATAACGCCAAATCGACTTTTAACACGAGCTTTGAGTATTACTAGCAACGGCATCGGTTCATTTCCTTGCCAATGCGATTCTTTTTGTGTGCGCCGAAACTGAGACACCATTCCTGACGACCGTATAGGAAATTTAACTATTCACTAGATACCCAAGCTTTTCTAAAAGCAGCTTCTCACCGAAAGAAAACAAAGTGTGGTCATAAGAGTTTAAGGCAGCCAGTTGACTTGTAGTTTTTGTACTAGATACGAAACGCAGGCCATTTTCTGATCCCTAAAGAGCTTGCATTGAACATTGCAACAGGTTTGGGAAGTATTTAACTAATACGTATGGATCATTACGCACGTACTCAGTACTAGTACTATACTGTATCTTGTGCTCTAGCGCGTTTGGGACTATTACTTAGTTCTTTATTTTCGCATTTACTATAGTTCTTTGTTTTGCCGTTAGAGGTCGTGCAGATGTTTTCCCATAAGACTTCTAATTCCCTCCCTTATTTAATTTGATACTGATTTGAACCGCAAAGTTTCTCATAATTTTTTCTTAAGTTCTCATCGTTTTCACTTCTGGATTTCTTTTACATTGTTATCTACCTGGATATTACGTATGTACACCGACATCATTGTTACGTCCCTGGAAAAATCCTTAGTTTTCCTTAATACCGACCTGTAATGCTTTACTTTCCTATATTAAACCGCGCTACGCGCAAACGCAATCGTAAGAATTTTGGGGACATCAAGTTACCTTGAAAAATAGAAAAATCGAGAAGTTGTTGCTGTCTTGTTCTTCCCCCTGTGACACCGCAAAAGAAACGTCTTCTAACTTCACCGCCTGGCCGGCCAGAGAACCTTTATCGTCGTTTGTCGTCATCGCCAAACGGAAGCTGTTTTGTTGCGAGGGTGGCAAGATTATCCCCGCAATTGGAAGCTGTCTTCCGTATTACCATCGTTTCATCAGCTACGGCATCGTCCAATTGTATAGTCAGATAGTTGCGAGGGGGCAAGTTTATCCCCGCAACGTTATCCAGAAAGAAGGAAGGAGAATAAAATTACCCTTTGGCGCATACTGAACCGTAAGTCCTTGCACTTTTCACTTACCCTTTTAGTTATTTCATTTATTTCATTAGTTAACCGACCGGCTGCCAACAACGTTAATATTGATTTGTATATTTACAATTATTGATTTATTTAATTTTGTATTGCGATAGGGAGTAAAGCTTTTACCTATACTTCTCTGTTTATTTACCCCAAAAGACCAACCCTTTGTACGCTACAATCACATTATTATGGACCTGGCATCTTAGTGAGAATGACATTGGTTCTCCATTCTACCTACATTACCTCGCGACCTACTTGAATGGGAGTTGTTTACACTCCGATATTATTCCTGTGTAACTGCAAATATTAACGAAACCTTTTGGAAACTGCCGTCCTTCTGAATCGCTCCGATATTTCTGATTAGTTTGTGATACGCGGTGTTTAGTTACCGTTGTTTTGTAACTTACGTTACCGAGACCTAGTCCAAAATAGGTATCTACGATTTTTAGTTACGATATTTGTGTCACGCCAAAGAATTTGCGCATACTATCTTATTAATTAAATTACATTACTATTGTATAGAAATATAATTATTGTGCATCGTAAAGTAGTTTTCTTGAAGACGATCCGTGGTCAAGTCAAAATGTTGAGTATTAATTATTTTTGTGCCGCGCTTTACCCCTCTCTTGATTTTTTGTTTGTTTGTGTTGTTGTGTGTTACAGATAAGACACAAAGCGCCCTTCTGAGCTTACACGACCATTACAACCAGAGTTCAGAAATAATTTTTTTAATTTTCGGCGACTTCCTTAATATAACGTTTAATTACATACTAGTTTTCGATAAAGTTGAATTGTAATTAGTACAGTTGTTTGATAGGCATTTAAAAATTATAGCTACGTTGTTTTCTGCGGAAGCCTGTTTTGATTTTAACAATTTCCTAGACTACGAGTTGACTTTTCAGATCTAGATATTGTGTCTTATTTTTGGAGATAATTTTTTAAACTACTCTCGATTGTGACATCAATTCTTGTGTATGTTCTATCCCTGTCAATTATTTTATTTGTTTAGATTATAAAGATCAGAACAAGGATCTCTTAGCCTGCCTCGTTCCCCCTTTCGGTAAGTATTCTCTCTCCTCTTTTGAAATTTACTAAAGACTAAGTGGTGTCTATCCGGTTTACTGTTACTACATTTTCCTTCTGCTTCGTTTTTGTGAGTGTACAAGAACCCCGTTATTTACCTTGACCCACCCCTACTTTACCTGCGCTTACCGTCGAGATTCTTTGGTTCTCTTCTGCGTAGCATAGCGATGAGAAATAGGTAAGAATGAGGGCTTGCGATTGGTAGAAAGGGACACTGGTCGCGTTTGTTCCGCTTTAAGCTCGCATGAGAACATAGAGGAAAGGGAGGTGACATACGCGCAACGACTACCTGAGACTATAGGTCTTCCGCTCATAATTTTTTTAATCACGGAAGAAACTAAGTGGGAATAAAATATACGAAAGGAATATTAACGCGACTAAATGGGGAACGAAAGGTTTCGTGGAAAAGCATTCATTCATAGAAAATTATAGTAAAAAGTTGCACGTCATAAACTGTCTGCGTCAAATACGCATATGGATAAATCAGTGTTGAGAATTGTCCCATAAACTATAATTTGAAGGCGAACCTTGAATTCGATTGATTTTTAAGTGCTCTAATAATAATCCGTATGGCGGAAATAGAAATCCAGGTTCATTGCTCGATTATTTTAATACAACAAAACGAAAAAAGAGATCCAATTTTATAATTTCTATATTTACCAGCTGCAAGGCACCATCTTTTCAGCTCAGGACCGTACCGTTTGTACCCTAGGTAAACCACTGATTCTAGAAAACACTATAATTACGGTAACGTAATTTTTGATTTGTATAAAAAATTATGATCGGTTCTTTTTAAGAAATTGCATTAAATTATTAGTAATTGCTGCGACAAGCGGGAGTACGTGGGAGAAATCAGCAGAAAATAGAAGCTGAACCATTAGGAAAGGAACTACTGCTTCTAATACATCTTCCTCATAGAGTTTGGTTTCTTGACTACAGCGGTGACTTTTGGATGGAAGTTCCAGAGCCATGGTTATTTGTGAAGGGAAAGGCACACGTTCACTTCTCGAAACTCTTTACCGAAGAATTGAATGTGTTTTAAATAAGAAAACTTTGTTTGTCAAAAGGAAACTTCTTAAGAAGAGCATAATAACACCCTAGCAGGATTGGTTGGTGTTACACCTGGCGTATACTTTTAGTCATGATCAATGAATCGAGTGTATGCAGATGAAAAGCACCAAAAAAGATGAATGAACGCCAAGTGTGGGAGAAGTAGCACATGGTTTGCGAAGAAGTACTTAGCTTATTTTTCGATTAAGACGGGAACTAACAAAAGTCTAATTTGGCGTCCGAAATACGGTAAAGTTTGCGGGATCTTAAACATCTCAATATTAAAATTCGTCTCTAAATAAATGCCTGATTAGATTGTTTGCTCTGCGTACACGCGATGTGGGTACCTAGTAATCATTCCATCATCACGCCATCGCAGAAATTATACGTTGCATAATAACAGCAGAACTCTCACACTAACTGTAAAACCTACCAAACTTCTGTCGCGTTACAATAACGTAATTAAATTTTAATTAACTAGAACCACTTTCAATGGTTTTTTGCCTGGCTTCTATAGTAAAGAAGATTTTGCCATCTACATGAGATGTTGTGTTAGTGAGTTAATTGAATGAATAGGTAGACATATCGTTTAATCTTATTACACGTTTGAGTGATTTTTCGGCAGTTTGCAATTTGAATGAATCTTGTTGATTTTTCTCTTAGGCCTTTATTTTTTAATGGACGAGGTTTGAGTGTACAACTCAACCCTGATCAAAGCTCCTCCTGATGATGTACTGGAGTGTTTGAACCAAAAAAGTTCCTGTCTATTGTACGATTCTAGGAAAAGGGCATTGGAGAAACGTTACCAGTCAAAAACCTTTACTGAAGAAGTCGAAGGAGTCTACCACGGGACGCGACTACCAGGAGCCTACAGTTCTTGAAATATTCGTCGATAAGGAGGGCAAGGGTCGCTTCCATAGAAAAAACCATAGAAATTGGCAATCATTCTGATTGAAGAAACTCTTGTGGATAAAATGAATTGCTGGTCTGCGGGAAGAAGCCCCCAGAAAACTACCGGTTCGATGGAGAAGAAGCAGGAACATTTTCATTTTGTTGCATTATCGGATCAGCGTGGTCGCGTTTAAATAAATTTTACCACGAAAGCGTTGTGGCCCGAAGTACAGAACGTTCATTGCGTTTATATTTTGAGTGGTTAGTTACGATTTAAAAAAAACAAGTTTATTACTTAACCAAATTTGTGAGCCTATCTTGTTTATAAGGGGTGATAAGATTTTGGATTAAAAAGCAACCGGTAAAAAGTTTAAAGACGATTAATTAGTGAATATTTGC